ATATAGTTTTAAAAACATTTTGAAAACTATATAGTTTTGAAACATTTTCAAAAAATATATAATATATAATTTTAAAATATTTTTTTGGAAATATATATTATATAGGTTTTTGGAAAATATTTTATTATTATTATTATTTATTTTATTTTATTAATTTCATTCTTTATTTTATATTTTTTCCAGATCTAAAGTCAAGGTACGGGTCCAACTCCAGTCAAACGGGCCTGACCCAGCCCAGATTCTAAGCTAGGGTTTCTCAACATTAGTCCCAACGCCGCATGGCTTACAGCCGTCAGATCAAGCAGTGATCAACGGCTCAAATCGCGTGATAGCTAGGGTTCTGAAGCCCTAAATATTTCATCAAATGCATAGCCAGACCTGACCCAATCCAACGGTCGAGATCAAATCAAGGAAGATTCCAGAAGTCACGCCAACAGCAATCAGTCACACCGGTCATCGAGATTTCCGGCCGAGGAGATCGGGATTGACCCATCCCGAAATCCCTGGTAAACCGACCATGAGCATATAACCACGATCGTCGAAACGACCACCGGTGGGGGGTATAAATACCCCCACCAAGCTACTGCCATGGGGGGAGAAAAAAAACCCATCATCATCAAGCCACAAAAACAGTACACATCAGCCAACAGTAAGATAAAGAACCATCCACACAACCACGGCGAACCAGAAACAGAAAACCAAGAACACAACGACAACCGGTATATCACAGAAACCATCACAGAGACAACCATCAACGGTGATACCAAACAGACAGCCAACAACAACGATCGATAGCCACAAAATACCACAGTACCAACAGAGTAACATAACATAAACATAGAGCCCACGACTACACCAAACATCAACAGAACAAAAGACATTCGAAGCAACAAAAAAACCAAAGCAAGAACATTCAAAACAGCAAGGAACAAAGCCCAAACGATTCGGTTTTGGGACTATTCGGAAGAAAGCACGATCGTGCGGCACCCAAAGGTCGCCGGAAATCACAAGGCCTCGTCGGAAAGAAGGTAAAACTCAAGGTTTTTGTTTAGATCTACTCTGATCGGTGAGGTTTTTGGGGGTATAGGCTTCGGGTTAGGGTTCACGATGTGGAGGGGATCATTTTAATAGGCTCAGATTTATTTCAGCCACCGTCGGCGGTGGCCGGTGTGGTGGTCGGAGCGGCGGACAGAGGCGACCGGAAATCGCCTGGTAGAGAGAGGCGAGAGAGTTTGTTCTCTCTCATTTCCAGAGAGAGAATGCAATAGGAGAAAATGAGGGGGACGTGAGGGATTAGGCCCTGTTTTGGGCTTGAATACCGATATTAAAACGACGTCGTTTCACCTAGGGGTCTTCTGTGCATTTTTACACACATGGGTAAACCGTGTTCTAGGTCCCTGTGAGTGGTATCATTTGTATTTTGGTCCTGAAATAATTTTCAACAGCTTTTATTTGGATTTCTAATTTTATTTTTCTTTATATTTTAATCATTATTCGGAATTTAGGATTAATTATTGTTTACTCCTCCTGACCTTTTTTACTTTTCGTTTTTGCAATTTGTTTTTTCAACTTAATCCCTTAATTTTGGTTTGTTTTGATTTGACCCTTTAAGTTTTTATTTGATTTGATTTTAGTTTTTTCCCTTTTTGTTGTTGTTTTAATTTTTTTTATTTTCCTTAAATTTATGTTTATGTTTTTTATTTTTTATTTATTTAATATTTTTTCCTTTTAACCTCGTTTTTTTTTCTCCTTTGATTTATTATTTTAGTTAATTTTATAATTACTTTTTATTCATTATTTTTTATCTAACCGGTCTATCTTTTTAAGGGTCTTCGTTTAAATCAATCAAATGTAAGTAACTCGAGTCAAATTTTTAAATTTCAATTTAAATTTAAATTTTCGTAATCAAGACAACCGACAAATTAAATGGTACCGAAAGGGCGGTTCTAGGGTGATAATCCTTCTTTGACCGTAACCGACTCCCGAACCCGACATATCTTTGGAAATACGCAGATCATGTAAGAAATAGGGTATCCGATCAGCCCATTTGTTTTAAAATAAATGATCGGTGGCGACTCCCAATTCATTTAATCTAAGTCGAAGCCCAATTCCGGGTCCAACCGAAAGACGGTTCCGACAAGGCCGTTTCCAGAAGCAAAGCTCAGTTTGAATTGGTGGCATCGTGATGGAAATCTCCGAATGATCATTATAGCATCTGGCACAATTAAGACTGACTCGAAGCAGCGTGGCATCAGGAGTGAAATAATTATTAAAGACCAACTCATTTCTACGCTTCCATATCCGCCAAATAATAGTCGAAAAGAAAGTCTTCCAAGGTATGTTCAGATTAGGATGAGTGAGAAGCAAGGTTAAGCAAAAGCCTATTTTTGATGTCCAAATTAAAGAGGCAGTCTTTAAGCTTAGGGGGTAAAAATTGCTTCAACAAAGTAATTAACAGTGGAGCAGTCTCTTAAAGCATGAATTGAAAGCTTTGAAGCGGCAAGACAACAAGGGCAACAAGAATCATTAGACATACCTCTATGGCAACGTTCGGCATTCGTCATTAGTTTTACACGGTAAGCAATCCAAAGAAAACATCTAATTCGTTGAGGTACATGCAACTGCCAAATCAACTTCCAAATCGGCAATTTAGGTTCCCACGTAGGAGACTTGAGACGATTGTAAGCCGAATGAATTTCAAATTTATGATTTGGATTCCAACGCCAAACACATAAGTCATTGTTGTCACTTGGACTGGGGCATTTTATACTGATAATGTGTTGGACGATATCATTCAGAAAAAGACAATGAAGAATATAAGTTTTCCAATTAGAGTTTTCATCAATAATGTCGCCAAAAGAAATAGCAGGATAAGGAAAACTTTGGTCCAAGAGATGAAATTTTAGAGGTCTGAGGCTTGGTTCTTCCAGGAAGTTAACTGCACTACCATTACCAAGTGACCAAGCAATATTGGTACAAAAGTCTTCCCAATCATTTGAGAGAGCTCGCCAAAGCGGGGTACAAGATCGCCTATTGATGGAGCGGGGACAAAGCTCATTCACCTTGTATTTTTGTCGCAATAAGCAAACCCAAAGAGAATCAATTTCTGTAAGTAGGCGGAAGCCAACTTTGTATAGGAAAGCCACATTTTGATCATGCATACTACGAAAGCCCAAGCCTCCGTGATCGAGAGGTTGACGAAGAACATCCCCAGTTCACGAGAGAAACTTTCTGAGTAGAGCCGGTTGTACCCCAAACAAACTGACGAATAAGCTTTTCAACATCACAATATACATTTTTAGGAAACAAAGATGTTTGCAAGAAGTACGTGGGAATAGCTGCTATGACTATTTTGCTAAAGTTATACGACCGGCCATGGATAATGATCGTGCTGCCCAACCATTGAGTTGAGTTCGCATTTTATCGATGATGAAGTTGCAGTCTGTAGAGGTCACTCTTTTATGTGCAACAAGGATGCCTAAGTACTTCCCCAAGGAATCAACCATTTGGAAGTCTAATCTATTACCGATAGCAATCTTTAGATCATCATTTGTATTTGGGGAGAAAAATAATTGAGTTCTCATTTATTAACTCTATGTCCCGAATGCTCTCCAAATCTTCGGAATATAGTGTCGATGATTTCGGCTTGCTGGATATCCGCTTTGGCATATAAAATAAGATCATCGGTGAAAAATAAATGCGATAGAGGGGTACCGTTTCTAAAGAATTTGAAGGGAGCCCAATCGCCTTGTTAGACTGCATTATTTATAAGGCGCCCCAACCGCTCCTTTGATAAACCAAATAAATAGGGTGAAAGGGATCTCCTTGACAAATGTCGCGCTGAGGAGTGAAACTGTGACAGAATCTACCATTTCATTGAATTTGCAGACTAGAAGAAGTCACAATTCATTATTATACGACAAATACCACCAGGAAGGCCTGCATCAAGCAAAGAATCACAGATAAAATCCCATTTTAAGTGGTCAAAGGCTTTCTCCATATTTTATTTTAGTAGTCATCCATCCATTCTTCGCTTTGCTTGAACACATAGAATGAAAAGTCACTTGGTTTACAATAATATTCTCAGTAATGGAGCGGCCAGAAATGAAACTTGTTTGATACCGCTGAATAAGAGTCGGAAAAATTGGCTCAAGTCTTCGAACAATTACTTTGGAGAGCGATTTATAAAGAACGGTGCATAAACTCAATCACCTCTTAACATGTTGGAATATTGGCATTAGTCCACCTCTAGACTCAATCGATATTCAAATTGAAGGAACTCAATCAGTATTTAAATTCAATTCAATTTCTTAATAATTCAAATTTTTAACAAATCAATACTAATTAATTGATACCCAACTTGAAAACCCCACGAACAACTCAATATATATATATTTTAAATTGAATTATTAATTATAGTAGCATTTATATGATATTTTAAAAAAATCATTATAATAATTCCATGTACTTGAGGTTCAATTCAAGCTCGAGCTTCAATCAAGTTAAGTCTAAGAATGTTTCGAATTCAAGTTTTTTCGAACTAGAATCGAACTTCAATTTTTTTATTTTGAGTTCAAGCCGAACTTGATATATATTTTTAAGCTCCTGAACTTTCGAATCAAGTCGAGCTCAACAAATCTCAAGTCAGTTCCTTTGCAGCGCTAGATCCACCACCGACTGAAACAAAGTATGCTTGCCTTTTCCATGCTGTTTCACCGTCACCTCAACAATGCCACGGTAAATGTAGAGGTTGTGGAACGATTAGCCTCCAATTCATACAAATCTCAGATTCCTGTGTATATGTCTTCTAGAGGAGAAAACAAGCACCATATGAGAAGCTATGCATCTCCTTCACTAGACTGAGATGATAAGGCTCATGCTGAAAAGAAACGTTTAAACAAGCTTTACCTCTGTAACTGGAGGAACCCAAATGAATATGTAAAAAATATAACCACGAGTTTATAAACTGCAGGCCAATACTTAAAAATCAAGAATATAGGGTTCTCATATGGGTAAAAACTAAAATGAAACTTCTCTCAACAATATGGGCTGTCAAGGTTAGTTCAGTAGCTCCTACAGAAACTCGACTAGTACAAGAAAAATTGAGGGCATCGTGCAAAAAGAAACCAAAAGCTTCACATCTTTAAAACCCAATCCTATATTCCTCTTGTCACACTTAGCCACCTGAAACACCTGCACAAAATAAGTGAGTGAGAGGGATAGAATGATAATATGCAGGTAAGAGGTGAGCGGAGCTGGCTAGCGAGTTCAAAGTTCAAACTAAACATTTGTCTTTAACTATATACCATTCCGGGAACTAGACCAATTACATGACTTGTTGCTAATAATCAAATTGGAGACAATGAAATTACAGAATTGTCACTTGGTATCCAGATTACAAAAGCAAAATAAACTCAATTATTGGATGGAAAAGCCATTCAGAACTTATCTTTTATGAGTTATGACCACAAAGGCACAAAATAATTCCAGGTTAAATGTTATTAGTCACATTAATTTTGTAATCTCAACTCAGCTGGCCATCAAACAGGACCTGTTATAGGCATATATGTCCACCTTTTTATATCAGCAAGTCGTTTTATCAAAGCTTTCTTGAATAGGTTTACTGAATGGGTAAACTGACATCTGGGCTTAGTTTTCTCATGGTGACATTACAGTGTCGCATCCTAAATATCATATATAAACAACGAATATTATGAAGATCAGAGTACTGAGATTCGACACATAAGAACTTTTAATCGGTGAAAGACGAATGGCTTGTGATGTTTGGATAATGTCCTATTATTTCAATATAGAGCAAATTACGAGGGCTCATTTCTGCAAGGATAATAGACTGCAATCTTTTTGTTTATCCCCTTTTAGACTTAATTCCCTAAAATCCAAAACTTTCAATTAGGCAATAGAGAATGTTTTATACACTTTTAATGAGGTATAAAAGCCATTCATTTGCTTATTAGAACAAAACCCAATTGCAGAAACGAAATCCGAATTAGTAAAATAAATGCATTTTAAATAGGGCTTCACAGGAAGAACAGGATTGAAATCACAAGCAGAGAATAGCTGAGATCAGGCAATGTGAAAAGAATAGGAAAAGGGTGAACTTCAACAAACCATGAACAGTCGCAATTAAATAATGCATGGACCTAAAAAAAACAAAAGAAACCAATCTAGACAGCATGCCATGCTTGAGGGATGGAATGTCAGGCTATTAAATCATTAAGATGCAAATTCTATGATTTAGCTATTACAAAACTTTTCCAGAGCAAGTACATTGGTCACAAAATGTGCAGTTATAGGAGCAATAATTTCCATGTGGTATGAGCAAAAACCAGCTTCAACTTTCAACACAGAATAATAAAAGAGTTGCATAATCCAAATTAATGCAACACAAACAATGTAAAAAATGCTTGCATCTTAGTCATCTAAACTTGAGCAATGCGATCAAGAGGCAGAGAGAAGGAATTACACTTACCTACTGCATCTTCTTTTCCTTGTTTGAGAAAAATGGAAGCCTACTTAAGACCGTTTCATCAATTTTCCTAAACTGTTCTTGAATGGTTCTGTCCGCTACAGAAAGTTTTTCATCGATTTGATGCTGGAACTTATCATATACCAACGGAACCGATAGAATGAAAATAACCCCTGCAGAACACATCTGACTCATAAGCAATTTAGAATAAAGTCAATGGAACCATCAGTGTTATAGAATCGAAAAGGGTCACACAACTCACCGATATAGACCAGAGTGAGGAAGTTGACAAGACTACCAATGAATGATACAAACCACAAGCCAACAGCAACCTGAGCAACAGAAATTTGAAATCTTCCAGTTAAGGACAAATAAAGTTATATCAGTCAAATAAATTAATATAAAGTAAAAACTCAACCTTAATAAAAAGTTTCAAATTCCTACCAATTGTAATGTCATGTGCAATCGCCAATACACAATTAATCCATCCGTGTAACTCATCAGAAACCATTCCAATAGTTCTCTCAGAAATTTCCATATTAGGAATTGGTGGCAAAGGTCTGCATATGAAAGCAGTATCACTTCCATTTTCTCCTAATAAATCCTCATACAACAAAGCACGAAATGGGTAACAAGAGAGTAATGGAACGATTAAAAGAGCTCTAACAACGGTAGAAACCTGTTGAGAAGTGAAGCAGATTTGGCCCAGAAGAAGAGGATAACAACAAAGAGCAACAAAACGTTGGCCACGAAAGGTAAGAAATCATAACCAGCTATTTCGAATAAGTAATACATCGTCGTTGCCGAGACTAACAGCATAGCTCCGCTACACCATCTTCTCCACAATAGCAAATCAGCAACTACCAGAAATGCATAAATGAAATTAAACCCATACCCAAAAACCAAAAGTTAAAATAATCAGAATCATGTAAACCAAATAATGAGTTGTTGAACAATGTCATTAGCCTATGGAATATTAGTATTCCAAAAAGGAAAAAAACCTGGAACACTCATACATAGAAATGATCGTAGAGGCGTAAATGGAAGTGAAACAGATCTATCAAGAAATGAAACAGAGATGCTGCTTCGAATATACATAGAAATAGAAGAAGAGAGAAGGAGACCTCGCCCACCACCAACCGCTTTATGAACTGATGTGCGATGTGAAAGGTTGGAATCTCATGGGCGGTCGGTCGCTTGTTTTTCGTTTCTCCTGCAATTGATTTTTAGAGAGGAAGGGAGAGAGGGAGAAACGAAAACGAAGAAAAAAGTTCTGAGGAAAAAGAAAAAGGAGAAAGTGATCAACCGAAGAACATCAGAACAAGCCGGATCATGTGCTGATTAAAATGGGCTTTAAGCCTTTTCTCTTTATTGTCTTGGCTTGACTTTTATGTTGTATTTTTTTAAGGTTAGATTATTACCTAATCATGATCTACGTCAGGGAGGATTTTTTTCCCTTCCTCAATCTGAGACCTCATGAGGACGTCAAGCGTTGCAATAGAATTTAGGGATCGGATCAAGCGATTAACTCGTTTCTAGTACAATCATTTTTATTAGTTTTAAAAGTTTCATTAAAAATTCTTACTGATGAGACAAATATATTATGCATTCATTAGTGGTTCGTCTCTTCTTATATATGAGACAAATAGATTATGTTGATCATTAGAAATTTAGGTCATGTTAAAAAGTCGCGTCAATAAATCGTAACTTCTTAAATTGAGTGCAGAACTTATGAGTCTTTATATTTGGAGACATTCTCTCATGGCTCTCACTTTGGAGGAGTTCTCCAAAGACCATGATGTGTGAAGGAGATGTGCAGATATTAATCTTATGGATCAAATTTGGAAAACATACAACATATGTGCTTGGTGTAATGAAAAGGCATGTTGTTTTGATTGTTATGGACATATTATTTCTTTGATTATTTAAAAGGGATTCAAGATAATAGACCTAAGTCCTTTTTATTCATATTTTACTTTTGCATTGTTGTATTCTCTAGGTAAAGTTTTTTTTAGTTTTTGTTTGAATGTGATTATGGCGATGGTACCAATGGGATCCAGAGTAATTTTTCCTTCTCTTAATTGTCTTGGAAGTTGAGTTTTATTTTCTCGTGCATGAATTTGTGAAATATGTGTTGAATACCTATGAAGTATTATCGAGTCAATTCGTCTGGACCTCTTGGTGGATTTAAATATGTTGTTTGATTTTTTATCGAAAGTGTATGTCTTTAATATTTGTATTAAGGAATCTATTTACCATTAATAGTGTGGTTGAACAAGATTGCATGGAACATTTATGCTTCATGTTGAGGTGTGATAAGAGGTTTAAGATTGAGGATCTTATTGTTTGTTAGACCAGTAAACTAAGTTTGAGTTTGTATCGTTCTAGGTTCGTCAAAGTAACTCGAAAGCAAGAATCTCTATTCTAGAATTAGGAAATGAGAAAATAAAGTTGTTTTTGTAATAAAGAGGGGTGGATGGGTAGATGTCTCAAAGTTAATCTTCATCCGTAATGTTTTTCGATATTGCCTTAAGAAAAATAACCCTATCGAGTTCAGGGTCAAATATGATTTGACCGCTGAGAAATTCCTCTAGTGTTATCGGTTATAAAGACATGTAACTTTAGGAGGGCATAGAAAAGTTGGTGAAGATACTATAAGGGATGTGTTACACCCCGAATATTGGATTAGTAGTTTTGAGTTAACCCGAGTGAGTTTTAAAGTAAGCCACTAGCCTTATAAAAAAGCTTAACCCAAAGGGGTGTTGGTTTGGACTTGTTTGGAACCTAATGGATGTTTAAAAAGGCATTTTTAAGTTGTAACCAAAGTTAGGAAGACCAAGGAGACAATTATACCATCTTTAGTTGGAAAGGTTGATTTCCATTAAAAAATAATGAGATCACATCTGAATTCTCTCTTTTTCTCAACTCTTCTTTGTCTCATATTATCTTTTCTTAATCCTTCATTTTCCTCTCAATCTAGAACCAACAAAGGTGATAACATATTTGTCGCAACCGTTTTTCGGGTGGGTTCGGAATTGGACTTTGACTTAAAATAAATACGTTGGAGTCACTATCGATCATTTTTTAAAAAAAAGGTTGATTAGATACCTTAATTTACCATCATATTTGATCTGCGTTTTACTAGAAATATGTCGGATTCAGGAGTCGGTTACAGTCAAGGAAGGGTTAGCACCCTTGAACTGCCTTTTTGATACTATTTTAATTTATCGGATGTCTTAATTGCGAAAATTAAAATTTATTGATTCGATCCGAATTACTTACCTCCGATAGGTGAAAATTTCCCATATTAAAAACATCAAAATTGAAGTTAACTAAAAAAACAACATTAGGGTTAGTATAAAACAAATAAAAATTAAAGTAAATTAAATTAAATTAAATAAAAAAATGAATAAAATAAATAGAAAAAAATAAAATAACATTCAAATCAAAAAGGGGTAAAGTGTAAAGAATTCAAAATTAAGGATCAAATTGACATTATTTGAAGGTTGTAAGAAATAATATAGAGTTAGGAGGGTTAATTTGTAAAATATAAGAATTTTAAACATGGATTAAATTGAAACAATTCGAAATTTAAAGGTAAAATTACAACAGATGACCAAAACGAATTACACTTCAAAGTGCAGGGACTGTGGAAATAAACACTTCGGTCCCCCTATAAATAGCCCCAAAAACCCAAAAATTATCATTTTACCCACTTTCCCCAAACATCATATTCCTCACCTTCAACCAATCCTCTCAACTCCCCTCTCCGACCAAATAGTTGGTCCAACCCCGACGAGGTTCTCTGCCGTACCGGCCACCGCCGACTACCGCTCCAGCCACCACTGTTGATGGCCGAAAAAGCCAAACTCACCCAAACAATTCCCCTCGTCCCTGTAAGTTCAAATCCGAGATCAAACCCCCAAAACCTACCCCTACGTACGTTGATCTAAACGCAAAGTTTGAGCCTTTTACCTTTTCGACAGTGGTTTTTCATTTTCCAACGTCTTGATAATTCGGGTCCCTCGGCTTTGAGTGTTGTCTTCGGTCTCTTTGCGTGTGGTTGATTTGTGGTTGTGATTGGTGATTTTTTGCTTCTCTCTTTGTTGTTGTTCGATATTTTGTCTCGCAGGGCATTTATAGGCTCCCCATTAGACCGTTCCCGGTTGTTTTGTGACCAATTTTCGGTCGGAATCTTCGCCTGGTCGCCTGGTGTTCTCTGGCTTCTTTTGTGACCGTTGGATCGGGTGGCCAGATCGAACGATCTTCGTCTACGGCGCCCTTGCTGAACTTGCAACCCTAATGTTTCGGGTTTAGTTACGGGCAGGGTTTAGTGACGTATTGGGTCAGGCAGGCCTGGATCTTAACTGTAACACCCCAACCCGTACCCGACCCGAATACGAGTCCGAGGTGTCACATTGACTTTTCAAATCTGGACACTTAAAGAAAATACCCCGGGTAATTTAAAACTTTGTTTAAACAAAATACTTTAATTTACATCAGAGAGACCACAAAATCAAGTTTGATCAGAGTATTCATAATTAACGACTTATTACATGCCAACACTCTATACACGCCAAAATACATACTTGTTGATTACTTCTGATCTGATCTTCAAGTAATAATAATGTCCTTGCTACTTCTATTCTTGCTCTTCACGTTTCTTGTGCCACTTTCACTTTAATTTATCTTTCAATTGTATTGCCCATGTATATTATTGAGAATAGAGGTATGTGAGTTCATTGAGGTTGTGCACAAATGCTGTCACCACAGCTCGTATAAATTCCCTCATGGGGCACCGAACATTAGTTCAGTATTCGTCCCGAAGGACTGCTATATATATCTCGTAGGACCACTACGTCCCGAAGGACTACGTCCCGAAGGACTACAGAACCCTCGACTCTTGGCATGCCAACTATACCTATAGCTCTCGTATCATATACTATGGGCATTTATGATGAATACATTTCTCATCACTTGTTCTTTCTCTTCTGTCACATACACATGTATGTGTAACCTGTATTTCATATCATATCACATGTATCACATTTTGCATATTCATATGTCATTTCATATATTCACATAGTTTTTCTCATTTCACATGGTCATGTCTCATAGCATAATCATGTATGCATGTATATCATGTAACATTTATAATAATCTATACACATTTCATGTATTCATGCACATATAAAAATCATGAAATCAAATAACAATTTAGGAGTCACTTCTTACCGTAGTAACTCCATCACTGGCTCATCGCAAGCCAATGTTTGTTCAATAATATAAGTACAATAAAAATTGCACTCACCTTAGCCTTGTTTGATTTGAATCAATTCTAATCCTTTGATTATTCCAGAACTTGTTTAGGCTCAATATCTACATAAATAACATTTCAAAACAACTATCAGAAGCCTAAACCTTAAACTTGATGTTAACAACTTAAGCCAGATTATTGAACCTAATTTCATTTTTCCTTTAGGGGGGAATCGATTCCCCCCCAGGGGAATCGATACCCCCTGGACATTCTGGAAAAATTTCGTCCAAGAGGGGGAATCGATTCCCTTCATAGGTATCGGTTCCCTCTAACCAGAATTGGTATTTTAACCCCGAAAATCATCAATTCTTCACTTAATTCTTCTATTTTAAACCCCTATCATGTCATTAAATTCAACTACCATCACTTAAACCAACTTATATCCATGAAAATCATCTATAACTTCAAAATCCTATCCTTCATATGAAATTCAAGAATCATACTCAAATTTCAATATGTTCTAAATACAATTCTAACACTTCATATTCCTTAATTAGGATGTGACAAGTCAAATTTAACTTTAATTTCAACTTATCAACTCTTTCCATGATTTCATATAAAACTCATTTTCTTTAATCTCTTATAACTTCTTCATCTTTTGATTATAAGAAAACTTAAGCTTTCCTTAAGCTTAGTTATCATCTAATGATCAAAACATAATCTTTAATTTAACAATAACCAACAATTTAGAAAACCTTACCTTTGCCCTGCACGTTGGAGAAGAAGAAAAGAAGAAGAAAGAGTTTTCAGAAACTCTTTCCCCAACTCACATTTATCTCTTAATAAAGAGATAAAAAATATCTTTCATGCTAAATGACCATTTTTCCCTTTAATTCCTTTGATAATTACTAATAACTTTCAGGAAATATTTCCGAACAAATCCTTGGACTGTACAAATATCCTACTTAAATCACCAACTCTGAAATTTTACAATTTAGTCACTAACCCGTATTTTTGGGATGTTACAAATCTCTCCCCCTTAAGAAAATTCGTCCTCGAATTTCATTGTTCAAAGAGATGGGGATATTGAATCTTCATGTCCTCTTCGCGTTCCCACGTAGCTTCTTCCACCTTGTGATTTCTCCATAACACTTTGACTAATGGAATAGTCTTGTTCCTTAATTGCTTGACTTCATGAGCCAATTTTGAACAGGTTCTTCCTCATAAGTCAAATCTGATTGAACTTCGATCTTCAGTAGTCACAATATGAGATGGATCAGATCGATATTTCCTCAGCATGGAGACATGAAAGACGTTATGGATTTTCTCTATTTCAGGTGGCAAAGCCAATTGATATGCCACTGGTCCTACTCTCTTAACGATATCATATGGTCCAATGAACCGAGGACTCAATTTTCCTTTACGTCCAAATCTCAATACTTTCTTCCACGGAGACACTTTCAAGAACACTTTATCTCCGATTTGAAACTCAATTTCTATCCTTTTTAAATCGGCATATGATTTCTGTCTATCAGCTGCAGCTTTCAGATTATGAATGACTTGAACTTTCTCTTCCGTATCCTGAATCAACTCAGGACCAATAACCTCTCGATCCTTAAGTTCATACCAGTTTCAAGGGTGTACGACATCTTCTTCCATATAAAGCTTCATATGGAGCCATTTTGATGCTTGACTGATAACTATTGTTATACGCAAATTCAGCAAGTGGCAAATACCTTTCCCATGATCCTTTGAATTCTCAGCATATCCTCCAGAATTTGGATAGTTCATTCAGACTGACCATCTGTCTGAGGATGAAATGCTGTGCTAAAATTCAGTCGTGTGCCCAATGATCCATGTAAAGACTTCCAAATCGTGACGTGAATCTAGGATCCCGATCAGAAATTATGGAAACAGGTACACCATGTAACCGTATAATCTCTCTAATATACAACTCAGCATATTTATCCATAAAAAAAATCAGTTCGTACCGGAATAAAATGGGCTGACTTAGTTAACCTGTCTACAATCACCCATAAATCTCTTTTGTTCGGAGTTAAAGGCAACCCCGTGACAAAATCCATCGTTACATTCTCCCATTTCCATTGAGGAAAAATTGATTGTAATAGTCCCGACGGAACCTGATGCTCAGCCTTAACTTGCTGACAAATCAAACATTTAGATACGAATTCTGTAATGTCTTTCTTCATTCCCCGGCCACCAATATCGACTCTTGAGATCCATATACATTTTGTTCCCTCCCGGATGCATTGTCAATGGACTACAATGAGCTTCCGTTAACAAATCATTCTTTAATTCATCATCATCCGGAATTACCAATCTCTCTCGATAATACAAGTTCTCATCAGACTTGATTTCATAATCTGTACTCTCTCCATTATTTGCTGCAACTTCTTTGAACATTTTTCATCTTTTTCCTGCAATCCTTTAATTCGATCTAACCATGATGGTTTGATAGTCAATTCTGCACAAATTGCACCATCTCCGCTTAATGATATTTAGCATCCATAGCTCGTAAAGCTGCAAACGTTTTTCGGCTTAAGGCATCCGCTACCACATTTGCCTTTCCAGGATGGAAATCAATCACAACATCATAATCTTTGAGAAATTCCACCCATCTTCTCTATCTTAAATTCAACTCTTTGAGTCATCAAGTACTTTAAACTTTTGTGATCCGTATACAGGTAGCATTTTTCACCATACAAGTAGTGACGCCAGATCTTTAGAGCGAACACTACTGCAACCATCTCCAAATCGTGTGTCGGATAATTCTTCTCATGAGGTTTTAATTGCCTCGAAGCGTAGGCCACCACCTTGCCTTCTTGCATTAACACGCATCCCAAGCCATTATGAGACGCATCACTATACACTACAAAGTCCTTGCTAGACTCAGGTTGGACTAACACTGGAGCTTCTGTCAAAATCTTCTTTAACTTTTCAAAACTCTCTTGACATTCTTGAGTCCAAACAAATTTTATTTCCTTTTTCAACAGCTTAGTTAGAGGTAAATCTATAATCGAAAAGTTTTTAACGAACCTTCGATAATAACCAGCTAACCCCAGAAAACTTCGAACTTCTGATACATTCTTTGGAACTTCCCACTCCAGAATAGCTTTAATCTTTTGAGGATCCACTCGAACTCCTTCTGCAGAAATTACATGTCCAAGGAATGTCACTTCATTCAACCAGAATTCACATTTAGAGAATTTAGCATAAAGCTTCTTGTCTCGTAAATTTTGCAAGACAATCCTCAAATGAGAACTATGCTCTTCCTCTGACTTTGAATATATTAAAATATCATCAATGAAAACCACCCACCACGAACTGATCCAAATAGGGTTGAAAAATTCTGTTCATTAAATCCATGAAAGCAGCTGGTGCATTCGTAACTCCAAACGGCATCACTATAAACTCATATTGACCATATCTTGTTCTAAACGCCGTCTTTGGAACATCTTTATCTTGAATCTTTTGATGATAACCCGAACGCAAATCGATTTTTGAGAACATTGAAGCTTCCTTTAATTGATCAAATAAATCGTCGATTCGGGGAAGTGGATACTTGTTCTTGATGGTTACTTTATTGAGTTGTCTGTAATCGATACAAAGACGCATT